CATAAGCAACTGACAGGGACTACTGGCCCACAGATGGTAACTGTTTGGAAAAAAAAAAAGCAACAGTTATTCTAGAAAGTCAGAGTTGAGCTATATTTATTTCTCTATATTTACTATATCAGGGAAATCTTCATAAAGTTGTTTGCAGCAAGCAGATGTTTTATTGTAGTTGATAATGGGTCACATTTATTTAAATTGACTATATCTTCATGGACACTTACTCTAACCTGCACATGGAATCCTCTTAAGTTATTGCAGAAATGCTGCTTCAGATTGCTACAGGTGCTCTAGATTAAAGAAAAGAACAGTTCAGGTTTCCCACTGCTCACGCAGCCCACTTTCAAGATCGCTAGTAACATTTACTGTATTTTATCAGAAAGTTTTCCAAGATTGTTTTGACTTTTTCAATCATGACCATTTTCCTGCCCATTATTACTCATGCCTTCAAGAATTAACCTTTAGAAATTTGACCAAAGCAATACCTGCAATTCTGAGGTTATAAGCCAAGGTTCATGCAAAATGAATTCCAAGCAGGGAGTATTATCTTGTATAGCTGCTCTGTGTTGAAGAGTTTTCAACTGGTACTTAACACACTCATGCAGTATGCAAAAAGCTTTACTTTGACCACTGGTCTCCTTGCTGGTAAATCAACCGTTAGCTGGCGGTAGAAGGAACTGTCCTAACCTGAGCCCTGGGGCTCAGAGATGATATTCCTTCTGAGTTGTAGTTTGTGCTTTATTCTACAGGGTTCCCTGTACTTTGAAATGCTTTAGGATGCAGTTAGCCCAATATATTTTTTGGCCCCCCTCAGTCACTAAAAGTCATTGAAAGCCAGCTTATTCCCTCCCAATATACTATTACCCCAACTTAGCAAAAATATCATCTTAAAAATAAATAGAATTTAGCAAACGATGGACTACAATGAATTTCAGGTTACAGATTTGTAAGCTGAGAAGGCACCAATTATTCAGACATTCAGTAGCTAGGCATTGACTACATTGCTACCAACATTTTACATTATGCTTGTGCAATTACTTGAAACTCTTTCTCAAATGATATTTTATTATTATCACTTTTGTCAAAAATCTAAGTGGCATCTATTTGTTTGAACGTAAACCTTTCTGATTACTCATGTTTAAAATTCCAGTTAAACTAAAACATGCACCTGGGATCCTTTTACCATTATTGTAAGTGTATGTGGCTTATGAATTACAAACATAGAATTATTTTCTGTATATTTAAGCATATCTTATTTCTCCCTCTTTTCCCCTGCTAAGTACTATCTCTGGTTTTCCCTTGACTTTGTCCTCCAATCATCCTTCTAATTTCTTAGGTCAACTAAGGCTTAAGCAGATAGTCGTCATTTAGTCATTTTCATTCTTGTCTTGATCCATTTTCATATGTTCACTACATTGTATAAAAATACTCCAGGTTGTTTCTCAAAATCTTTTATGAATCTAAACTGAATCAAAGTACTAATATTAAACCCTTAAAAATATTTTGTTGTAAGACATCTTGTATTTGGCCTTCACTTTCCATTTCGTTTGGTAAGCAAAGAATTTTCCCTTTATTCCTATAAACAAAAATGTTGATATCAAAGGCAGCTAGTCTTTCTCTGCCAAGTCTGAATTAAATAAAATTGGAGTGTGCAGTTAAATATTTTAGGGAAGCTATACCAAAATAACTAAAACACAGAGTTTTTTAGTGATGCAAATCATAAACCCAGGCTCACAATGAAAGTGATACTTTAAGAATAAAACATGCTACAAATTGATGCATGAAAGACAAAAACACAGAAGAATAACCTACCATGGCGCCAAAATTATATTAGTCATGTTAAACTCTTCAGGTTGGAAAACCTGAAACAGAAGACTAAAGGTTTACCTGAAATTTGCCTCTTTAGTTTCGTTTGAATTTTTGTTCCCCAAGATTTATGAACTTGTTCTAAATTCAGTCCATTTAAAACTATAGCATTGCTTTTTATGACACGGGAGAAATAAATGGTTTATTTTCCTTAAAATGTGGATGGATAGAGATTTAATGCTTATGAGTTTGATGGTATAGAATATATAATGTAATATATAGCATTTCATTATGGAACTGTCTGCATTCCTGTGCCTCTACATCATGTAGCTAGATATGTAAAGGACGCAGTTTTCAACTATAAAAATCTTAAGATGCATACTTTATCAATAAAAATAACGTACAACTTGATTGCAAATGAAAATGTAGGAATGGAATGTAATTATTCCTCATAGGTATCATTTTAAAGTAACTTTGTTGAATAATATTTGATTTAAGGTGGGAAAAAAGAAGTTTTTGAAACTTGAGAGGCAATCATTGTCCCCCCTGCAAATAAGATAATTAGAATGTCATGAAGTGTATATGGAAAGCAACTGGCATTAGGGAAGATTGCATATATTTTGAATTTTTACTCAAATCTTATAAATTTAATATTATCAGTCAATCTATATTCCATGCTACTTTTCAGCACATTTTTTACTATGTGGTACTTGAAGAAAACCACCAATTTCTAAAAGAAATCATAAATCTAAATGTAGGAAGAGATAGAAAATAGAAAAACAAAATATATTGAATGTTATACTCTCAGAGTAATGAACAGGTACTCATATCTCCTAGTATATGTAGAAACATAACAGATTTTATTGTGAAGTCACTAATTACTGTTGTGTTAAAACAGTAACTTATTTTAAAAATCAGTAAAATATATAGAATCACTAAATAACATGCAGTAGCCAAACTGTTCCTTAAATTTTATAGTGCATAATTCCTGGAGAAGGGCAGTTCTTAAGTTTTTTAAAAATGGAGTGCATCATAAATCACATAAATTACCATTGGGTACTTAGCATATTTTAAAAATTCTTTATTTCAAAAGAACCAGTCCTTTATTTCTTGGAGAAATATAACAGAAATAATATTTATATTCTCAACAAAACTTTCAGGAGACAAATTCTGGTTTCGATGTAATTTTCCGTACTTAAATGCATATATCATGACTATATGTTACCAAGGTAATTTTATCCAGCAGGTAAAATCCAAAATAAAGTTTTGTAATATCTGTAGCTAAGGATCATTTTTAATTTAAGTTTTTTTATTCCCACCATACTTCATGTCACAAACATACAAAAATGGCAACTCAAAAGAATCGTGAATCTCAAAATATAAAAATAAAATTTTCAGATTGCTCAAGTTCTTTCCCCTTATTCTTAATTTAAAAATATATCTGCCTTTATTACTGAATACCATTTCACTTAGCAGAAGAAATAATAGATATACACATTTATGAAATGTAAAGAGCATAGCACGTTTAAGATAATTTTGATCATGTTTCCTGCAAAAGATGAGCAGCTTACATTTTTCATATATTCAACCTCTTGTTGAATGTTTGATATCAAAATCTTGCATAAAATATTAAACGTTTTTCAGAGAAGTTCAAGTATATTGTAATTATAGGAGAAATACTATACTGTACATAGTTTTAAATGAAAGCTATTGAAATTCTCTACTAAGTTTGGTGATTTTTACCATTCCCCCTATAAGTAGCCATTAGAGGTAAAAAACATCTTTCAATGTTGGTTTTTATAGATGTAGACACTGATATAGCTATTATAGGAAATGCTGGGGATTTTTCGTGTTATTATTACATTTAAAAAAATTCTCTATGGCCTAAAAAATAAGTTAATATTTTTTGTTATTCTAAATGTTCTAAGAATGAAAATTTTGGGAAAAAAAGCTTTATGGAGTAATTAACATATGTTTAGAAATTCAGATAAAACAGACCAGTCATATTTGATTCTGGAATGCATCCAGACCTCCTTTTTCACTTTTTTTTTTCCTTTGAACCACACTTTTTCTCGTCAAATAACATTTTCCTTATACTTTCTATTAGACATCAGGACTTCATGTTAACTGATAGATGTTTTGAGGCTTCAGTTAAAAAGACCTTTTCTGCTAAGGTTTCTTTTAATTGGGTGCCTTTCAAAGAGACTCCTCTCATTTCTAACCTTTTCTAATTTTTCTTTACCAGACTTTTAGTCCTACACTCAGCTGACTGACTGAGGCATGTTGTGGAGAATTTTCTGGATATGTTGTTAACATCTGACACAGTGAGTGAAGAAAATAACCCAGCACAGTCAAAGGGAAGGTTCAAGAAGTGGCAGCTCCTGGAGATGCAAACTTAGGTGTGTTTGCTGGTTGCTGCAGACACACTGGTTAAATTCAAATCCATTCATTTCTCAATTGTGTCTCTCCCTCTAAACCACTGTAATGCAAACCAAAAGGACCTTTATGGAATGTTTTTTATTGATGTGTGCAGATCAAGTGTATCTTTAATTAGTCCTGTCTGACATTTTCCACAATACCTTTAGTAGACAGTATTATATAAATATTTCTAGTGACTGGCTATGGAGGTGTTTGCCTAAATTTTTCTTGGATAAAGCCTTTAATGCTTTCACCCAGAATCCATAGAGGAGCTACCCGAGTTTGGGAAGTTTAGCGTTGCTCTTTGTACTTTAACTTTTAATATCAGAGCACATATTGAAACCATAAACACAATGAAAATTCAAAAAATATTCCGACGATATTAGAATACATCCCCTCCTTTTTTATCCTTAAAGAGCCACGGGCGTGGGGAGTGGCAGGAAGAAACATTCTTAAGATCTAAGCCCTGGACGCCATCCTGCGAGCGCTTAAAACCCTTAGAAACGTGCAACGTGAAGAACACCCCCTTTCGAAGTCTAAAACAATATTAGATTCCCAAAACATATCGGCAAAGAAAGCCTTACCGTCAAACGCTTGCGGCAGGTTCCAGCTCAAACCCAGACTGAAAAGTTGAGCAGCTGGTGAACAAAAGTTTTAACCTTTTTTTTTTTTTAACGAAGTCTGCAAAACTAATTTCCCTCAAAATAGGGCTCAATTTCCGTTAAAGAAAGCAGTGCTAACAAATCTCAGAATTCCTGATCACTCCCACCCCATCTCACCTCTGAGCATTGGAAAATAATTCGAACTTTCACACGGATGTAAAGGTTTATTGCAAAGCCACTATTCTCCAGGACACTTGAAAGAAAAAGGAGATGTTCAGGCTGAAGCCCGAGGGACAGGGCTAGGGAAAAAGTTCTACCTTGGTGACATTTCTGAAAGATTAATCAATACATTTTCCTAATTCAAACCAGATGCCTGGCCCAGTTTGCTGTCCCCAATAATCCCATTAACAACTTCCAAGACCTGACCCCCGTCCTCTGGACACCTGAGACAATGAAAGCAAGACGGCGACGCTCCTGGTGGCACATTTGGGGTCCCGGGAGGGATAGGTGAGCGCCGATATTCTCCTGATGCGACAAGTCCCAGGCAGGGCTCAACTGTTCCCGCAGCTCATTATGCGCGGCCAGCGTGCGTGCCTTGTGTAAACGACTTGGCCCCCAGCAGACAGTGTCGCCCTACAAGCATGTGGCAGTATCAAAGCCCAGCCGTCGCTCGCATTAATTCACCGGCCGCAAGTTTTCTAAGTCATTTTCTAGGATGCAAAATTGTTACCAGGGAGACCCGAACTTTAAGGGATTACCGAAGTGTAATATTTGTTTGGTGAATGGAACCGTGGCGGGGTGGGAGTGAAAGGGGTGAAATTAGCTGATTGATTTTTTGAGCTGAAGAGAGAAGAATTTCTGGAGGGGAGCGAGGTGACAGGGGCTGGCTCCTGAGGGAGAGGGCTGGAAATGTACATGCAATATACACACTGCTTGTGACTAGGACGAAATCGCTTTAGAATACTCCTGATCCAGGAAAAGTTCTTCTGGGCGGACAAGTGGCTAGGAAATGGAGTTGGACCCGGAAATCGAGGGCGGTGTTGGGGAGGACATTTGAGGAAAGCAGGGGTCTCTTGACCCCACCTGGGACCGCAGGTGAGGATGCCAGAAGCAGAGCATTGCGACTGTCGCGGCCCCATGCCTTCTTCCACCCTACCAAGTCTCGTTCCTTGCGGCACAGAGAACGGCCCTTTCTTGCCCATGGGGAGCTTTTCCTGTATCCTCGAATCTGGCGTCTCAGCGTTCTAGCAACCCACCCACAGACACCAGCTGTATAATAAGCGAGAAGCGCCCCTGAACCCATGACACGAGTTGATGAGAAGTTGGAAAAGCTTAATCTGATTGCGCGCCAAACTAGCTCTGATTCTTTTCCTTAATTCTACTGCTTTCGTGCTCCTCCACAGTTAGGCACACCCTAAGCTTCCCTGCAGGTGACCCTGCCCAAGTGGCACTGACAAGACACCTTTCACGAGAGAAGTGAGCAGATGGAACACTGGGTGCGGGGCTGGAGCTGGCGGGAGCCACGGCACGCCCCGGCCGGCGGAGCGGGAAGGGTAGCCGCTGCCCGCCGGGGCTCGGGTTTAGGCGCCCGGCGCGCCGCTTGCAATCCCGGCTGTTGGCAGCGGCGGGCGGGCGTGGACGCGCTGCATGCGTCCAGCCGGCGATAGGAAGTAGAACTGGGAGCGCACTGCGCGGAGTGAGCGGGAGTTTTGGAGGGAGTTTGCATGTGGTCAGCACTGGGCTCCTAAGCCAGCCCCCAGCTCACATTACACTCTATTTATAACCTCTCAGAGCCGTTTCCCCCTGAAAGCAGTTCTCTGGGACCACCTTCTTTTGGCTTCAACCTCTCCTACTCTTGACATCTGAGTAGCTCAGAGGGAAGCTTCTCCAGGTCCGAGTGTTTATATGTAAAGGAGGCTGGCCGCTAGGGCTCGGGACCGGGATTATCCGAGCTCTGCAGAAACGCGGGCGGCTATTGCTTTGGGAGGGGGACAAGTCACAGGGTTTCCAGTGAAAAGTGATAGAGGGTGGTGGCATTTGGAACCGTCGTGAAGTCTTCTGCCTGGAACCCGAGACTTGCATGCTATGGAACACCCGCTCTTTGGCTGCCTCCGCAGCCCCCACGCCACCGCGCAAGGCTTGCACCCGTTCTCCCAATCCTCTCTCGCCCTCCATGGAAGATCTGACCACATGTCCTACCCCGAGCTCTCCACGTCTTCCTCGTCTTGCATAATCGCGGGATACCCCAACGAGGAGGGCATGTTTGCCAGCCAGCATCACAGGGGGCATCACCACCATCACCACCACCATCATCACCACCACCAGCAGCAGCAGCACCAGGCTCTGCAGGCCAACTGGCACCTCCCGCAGATGTCCTCCCCGCCGAGCGCGGCTCGGCACAGCCTCTGCCTGCAGCCGGACTCGGGAGGGCCCCCGGAGCTGGGAAGCAGCCCGCCGGTCCTGTGCTCCAACTCCTCCAGCTTGGGCTCCAGCACCCCGACCGGGGCCGCGTGCCCGCCAGGGGACTACGGCCGCCAGGCGCTGTCACCCGCGGAGGCGGAGAAGAGAAGTGGCAGCAAGAGGAAAAGCGACAGCTCAGGTAAGGGCGCGCCGGGCACCCGCGGCGAAAGGGGGCGGAGAGATGGCGGGGCAGAGTCTCCCGCTAGAGTGAGGCGGCGGGCGTTTCGGGACAGGTCTTTCCCTCGCTGGCTCCTCGCCGCCAAATTCGGCGAGGCTGCTTTGGTCCTTTTATTTGCGGGCACGTGTTTCTCCGAGGGCAGCACAGCAGCCAACTGCGTTAAGCTCTCCAAGATTCAAACTAGTTTACCAGAGGGTTGAGAAAAAAAAGGACAAGTGACAAGTATGTGAAATCGATTGCGAAGCGTGACCTTCCATCTGAGCGATGGGGAGAGGAATGCGCCCTGGGATGCAGCGTCCGCTGGGCGGGCGTGCGTGCGGGTGCCTTTCCTTGACTTTTCCCGACTCTGAATGGCTCGATTTTTCCCATCGTTAACTGGATTTCCAAATTATTGCACAACATTTGGAACTTGCAGTGGAACTTGGCAGAGCACATGAGAAAAAGTTTTAGGTTTTTTTTTTTTTTTTTAATTCTGATTTCAGAGTTCTTTAAATAGCACCCTATTCCAAATGGTAAAATTTCTCTTTCTTGGGGAAGAAGATGATATTGTCTAGGAATTCAGAGGATTTTAAGGAATGTGTCAGAGAATGGCAATTAAATATACGCTCAGACCCTTGACGAAAGACGATTCTTTTTTGTAGTTGTATTCATGTAATGCTAACCAAAAAGAAAATCTGAGTTTCAAAATTGGAAAGTAAAATCCTCCTCCAGTTGAGTACTATCCGAAACAAGGACTGGGAATCTTAACAGCAAACGGGGTAGCGCTGCTACAAGTGGGTGTGCGTAGGAGGCGCTGATCTAAGCGAGGATATCTTGAACCTCGTAGCAAAAGGGGAATCTTAATCAAACGCGAATGCTTGAAGGCACGGGCAGCCAACTAAACTTCAGCAATCCAGAGAAACTAAAGCTTTGCAGTCAACTGTCAAAGCCCTTACTTATCTCTGTCCTAATGAAATTGTTAAAAGATGCTTTATAAGGAGGGTATGAGCTTTCTTCAGTAGCTACGAGGCAACCTGCGTCCCATCTTTTTGTAAGCTGTCGTTTATTTAATATAATATTTACGTATTTTCTTTCTTTGCGGCATTGGTTTTAAGAGCCCTGGAAGATGATTCCAGGTACTGATTTGAAAGACTGGATAAGGTCTATCCTTTATAATAATTTAGATTAGATTTCACATGAATGACAGTGATTGAGCCGCATATTTCATGTTCTTTTGCAGCAATGGTATCAATTATTCTTCAGTATGAGTACGGAATGGGGGAATGGGTTCTTCTATCTCAAACTTAGAATCTCACGTTTACATTCCAAGGTCAGGGTGAACTTCTGATGCCCCATCACAAAATAGTTTATATCCAAAAAGGTTGCCAGTAGTATCACTCAATTTTTAATGGTTTTTACTAACCCTAAGTGAGACACTCTTTAGACAGAGTGAAAAAGTTAATTATAGCAAGAAGGCTTCCATCTACATTAGAAAACAAGTCATTTTTAGAATGCAGTCATCCTTTTATAGAATCAGCATTTGATATCAATGTAACTTTTCTGGGATAAGATCTGAGTGCAGGTTAGTCAGGGACACTTTTGCAATTTACCAGAGGCTCTTACTGTTCCTTTTACTTTCTGCAGTAAGAAACCTATATGACGGATTGTTTCATATGCTCTTCAACTGAACAAATGCACCTAAGTTTCTTAGGACAAACTGAATTTTCATATAGGCCTGTGTTATTTTGATCAAGGAGAAATCAGGAAAGTGAGATATAAGAACTGACTCCCTTCAGTTATTTTAATAATGACTTTCTTAAGAAAACTGGTTATATTAATTAATAGTGCTACCGTCCTCTAGTGCGAAATAACCATATAACAAAATAAGTTTATTTTTTCATGTTGAAGTTGATAATTACAGTCCTGGAAAAATAAAAGTTTTCATCATATACATAAAATATTAATAGATTCCATCTTGAATGGGAAATACAATTAATCATCACCAAGGGTAGAATCATTGGGGAGTTAGAATGAACTTTTTCTTCAATGGGATATTTTGAAAGAACTCTTCACTGTCTAAAAGGAAATATATTTTAAATTTCTTGTTGAATATATGTACAATCTTTGAAGATAAAGTTTAAATAGCCAATTTCACTATTTTAGATAACATTTGTTAGATTCTTTAAGTAAATTTAAATTCAAGGTATCATTTTTATTGGAATGATGTTGTATTTGGTGTTTTATAATTTATGCTCACAGCTATTTCATTTCATATTATTATAAGGACACCTTGATCTAGCAGAAGCTAAAGCAGAGTAGAAAGTCAATGTAATTCTGACATATTATTAACACTTACATCTCTAATTGCTTAGAGCACAGTTTTAATGTTTCAATATTTCAAAAAAATTAATTAACATAATGTTGACACTCTTCAAATTTTAAAATTATATTTGACAAAACTCACACTATGCATTACAGAGACCACTTTTATTTTGCCAGACAATGTATAATTGGTATGTATTTCTAGTTGAGAGTAAATGTAGTACATAAATCCAGGACAAAATCGGAACCAAAATTCTGTGTGCTTGCATCTCACAGATTGTATGTATATGTGTATGTGTGTATTGACTGTGTGAAATTCTAATGGAATTTTAAGCACTGGAAAATATTGAAAAGCAACCCCAATTTTTATCCATGATAATGATGCTGAAACTATAATAGTTAACATTTTTCAGTTGCATTTGTATGCGTTTCACCTCTCAAAAACACATGAACACACACATACACAAACTCAAAAAGCTTAAGGGTCTAAAAACAAATATTTATGGACTTTAGACTTCCACTGCACTTTATCAACAATTGAAAACAACAATGTTTAATAGAAAATCACACTCTTTTATATATGTTAAGCATATTTGCAACTTTGAACCTGCTATGCTTTCCAGCATTATTATCAAAGCCAACATCTGCCACACCTTCAAAGGAACTCTTAGAAATCAAAACTTTACAACTGTACTTAAAGCAATCTATACAAAACAGGTGATTCTGAAATAAAAGTCTATAAATACTGTGAATTACTTCACTTCAGTTACCTTTGATTGTTCACCAAGCAACATAGTAATAAGTATAAACTGACTACTCCCAGTTAGTAGATCAAAATAAATTAATCTTAGTTTTTAATGCAGGTAATATAAAGTATAAATGTATGAGTATCTTCTGTTCAAATTTATTGAATGAATATAAGTGCATATTTTATAAAAAATCAAAATTATATCAAAAAGGAGTGATTTGGGGGGTGTCAATTTTATGACTTTGAATCATATTAGATTCTCATAAAACTGTAAATATTTTATAATAGCTACAAGATCATAAAATATCTGTTGTCAAGTTATGTCTGTCTGGCTCTGCAGATTGATAGGCAAGTATTAGGATAATATGCTGGAAATTAAATACGGAGTAATATCTTACCTGCCCTACCTCTAGTATTATATTGTACTTTTTCTAGATATTTCTATCATCATGTTTTCTGCAAGAAAAGAAGTTACATTATTATCCATTTCTGTGTGACTGGATCATGACTTTTCAGCACTTGCTTTAGAATTTAAAATGCAGTCTATTGGATGTGGATGGTTATAGGCCAGTATTTATATTGAACAAATTAAGTGCCTCAAATCTATGAAATTTTAAAAGTAACCATTTTCAATCTTTTTCTTGGAGTGGTAGATTAGTTTTAGATGTGAACATTTAAAACGATGACCTGACATAAAAAAAATTCTGAGTACCATTGACCTACATGAGTGTTTGCGAAATGATTACACTCAAAAGTCAAGAGCATTAATTCCTTCAGAATTAAGGTGCTTTATTGTGGAAAGTCAGCAATGATGGAAGGAAGAATGCAAATAAATACTGAAAAAGTTTCCATTTCTCTGTAAATACCTTTATTTATAGTTATTTGAAAAGGAATAGCATCAAACATAATGCATGGCACTCCTAAAACTTCCATTTGAGTTAAAAACCCTTTATCAAGCATTTTAAGTTTTAATCTTTGTTTACGGTAATCATCAGTGGAAACCATTATGTTGGTACACTGTAAGCTGATCGCCACTAATAAACCAAAAACTTTATTTTAAGCATTACCTTGTTTGTCTGTGTTTCACAACATCCTTCATCACAGCATTGGAATTTATCACAACTTATTTATTGTAAGACCTAATTAATTTTAAACAAAAATAAGATAACAAAAGGGACAACCCCTTACATCAGATTCAGAAAAATTTGGCAAAATATTGCTATATTTAGTAAAAGAAATTACTTTTTTAAAAGTAAATAGCCTATGGGTGAATTAATAACGGACTTCTGTTAAGAAAAAAAATCTCCACATGTAAACCTATTTATGTATTTGGCCTGGTAATGATGCCAGTTTTATTCATTTACTACATTTAAATATAAATATATATATATATAGGGCAATTTCATTAATTTACTGGATTAAAAATGGCAGCCAGAAACACAAGAAAATGTGATGGCTTTTTAGATTTTCATTTCAAATAAAAAAATATGTAATACAATAATATATTATAGTTTTAGACCATGTTCACTTCAGTAATTTATTCTTAAAATTTCAGACCATTTTTTTTTCCAAGAATTGCTATGATTAATACAAACATTTATGAGTGATAAATGATAAGGGTGAAAAATATTACAAAATAAAATACACACAGGAATTCCTTAACTAATATTTGTTGAGTTAATAGTTGTGGATGATTTATTTCTCATTTTCTTGTAATTTTGCCATATTTTTTATAGTAAAAATTTTGTGAGAAAAATATATTAGCACATGAAGTAAGACTATCAGGAGTAGAATTTTTCCCCCTTGATTATAATCATAAAATAAAAAGGATTAAGTATTGAGTAACCAGCTAAATTGCATATCCTGGATTATTGCATTGGTGACTGACTCCAATGGTTACATTAGAAAAAAA